GCTGGTGAGGGTGGTGAGACTGAAACAAAGACCTTCCCAGATGATCTTAATGCCTGGGTAGACTAATGGAAAGAATTACGGTCTTTTAGATAACTTGGACCCAAGCCATTTCTGGCTTTATAGGTTAGAACCAGTACTTTTAATTGTGCCTGGATATGAAGCAGCAGTCAGTGGAGCTTCTGTAACAATATGTTCTCTGTAATCAGTCCTAGCTAGCAATCTGGCTGAAGCATTTTGGACCCACTGGAGTTTCTAAACTCCAGCCGCACATCAAGTGTATTACAGTAATCTAGCTGATATATAACTAGGGCATGTGCCACTGTGGCCAGATCAGGCAGGCCACTCAAGAAATGGGTGAAGCTGGTGCACTAGTTTTAACTGTACAAAGGTACTCCTGGACACAGCTGAAATCTGGACACACAGCTCAGGAACACCCCTCCCCCCCAAGCAGAGTACCTGTGTTTTTCAGAGGGAGTTTAACCCCATCTAGCACAGGCTACAATTCTATTTCTTCATCTGCTTTTCAACTGACGAAGTTACCTGTGTTTTTCAGAGTGAGTTTAACCCCATCCAGCACAGGCTGCAATTCTATTTCTTTATCTGCTTTTCAACTGACTAGGAGCACCAATAACAGTCATGTATCCAGTTCCTCTCCACATCTTCAATAATGTCACACTGTTCTGTGTGTCCTACATGGTCTGGAACTATTGATGGAGAGAGGAGCAGAATGACACAGAATTTTATAATTCAATAGAATACGCAATCAGCATCATTTGTGGATCAACTTCCTCTCCTCTCCAATATTTCATTGGCCTGTCTACTTCCATCTTTATGCAAGCCAACTCTTGAAGCCTGGGTTTTATTTTTGATTATTTTTTGTGGTAGACATTGAGTTCAGCATTAAGTAATACACAAGTTTCTGTTTAATTTTATTTTAATTTTTGTTTCAAATTAAGATTTGTTTTAAAAATGTAAGGTGGCATTTTCCATCTTTTAACAGATCTTGGAGACTACATAAAAAGGAACAAGTAAAACACAGAATCTCAGATCATGGAGGCTATAGTTTTCTACCTATCAACACTGGAACATCTATTTTTACTCTACTTGGGAGCATTCTCTTTTATATCTGAGGATCTATCCAAATACAATAAAGAATGCAATTTGCATTTTACCTTTCTGCCTGGAATGAATAAGAAAAGAAAAGGACAAAAAAAACAAGCAAGGATTCTTGTAGCACATCCTTAATCCTTGCATGAAAACTCAGAAATAGATACAGTCCAATGAAAAGGTCTGGAATATTTGGAAGGTTAAAATCTGTTTTTGGAACAGCCAACATACATGGTCAGATTGCATGCAGATAAATTCACCACTGACAGCACTGTCAAAACTTTAAAACTTTGGCATCAATCTTGAGTGGGAGATCAGAGAAGATGGCTTAATTAAATAATTCTCTACTGTTTTAATTATCAGTGGATCTGCCTTCTAATACATATTGGTACAAGTATCAAAATGGATGACTGTGGGTGATACATTTAAGGGAGGAAACAGAAAAAACCAAGTGTATTGCTCTTTTCCCCATATTTTTGGGAATGTATGAAGGGGGTAATGTATCTCTCTCATGAGGAAGCACTTGACATTCGATGCAAAGACAACTTGTGCTTCTTTCTTGCTAGAGAAATATATGTATGGCTCACCCTTTGTTACCCCAGAAACCTGAAAACTGGAGGCACAACTCCATGATTCCCATTTCAATGCTTTCATTTAACTTGGGCACCAAAGTCTCTTTATCAAATCTCTACTGAAGAAATGTATAATGCTAGGCATTCACATAGCACTACAGGTTGTTTGCTTTCAGGCCACCTGAAAAGTTTTTAAATTGATTTCAGAACCATCAAAAGAGTCCTTCACCTGATTTTCTCTTGTTCAAAAGGCAGTCCTTCTGAACTATGAATAGATGCTAATTAGCCTTCTTTGTATTACTTAAATAAAGAGAACTGCAGTGTATCTATGAAGGAGAAAATTACAGCTCAGGTGTCTGTTAACTTACCGTCATTTCTGAACTATCAATCTTGATCATTTTTTATTCCCCCCCATGCCCACACCTCCAGCCAATTTAGCAATAATATCTAATATTGTTTTTGATGTGCAGAAGTCAGGACAAGCAGTACTGTTTAGTAGAAGGATGAGAAAACCTTGTACATAGAATATTTCAGCTATTAGTATTAATTTAGCTGGGGGGTGGAGAAGGATAACATTTAAGCCACACCCCTTTTGTGTTGGGCGCACAGTGATGTTCCAATCCTGACAGACCCTGTGAGGTACTGCTGCAGCCTAGTGGCATTCTGGGGCATGGAATCCAACATTTTTGTTTCAAATCTTTCTCTCCACAGAGAGAGTAAAGGGGCAGTAAGTCATAACAGCAAGAAGCACAGAGAAAAGAGACATACAGATAGTAAGACTCCATTCTCTTTTTCCTTGAGATATCACATTGAGATCAGGAAATGACTTTCTGAGTGCCAGAGGTGGTTATCATTCTTAAATTAACCTTCTCTGCCTTCTGTATGGAGTCCCTTTAATGAGAACGATAAAGCAATATAGTCTTTGTTTAACAGCCACATTCACTGCCAGGGCTCCCTGGACTGCTTTTAACTTAACAGCAAATTACTTTGGCTGGCACTGTAAGAGCAGTGATATCCAATGTGTATCTAGGAACCATGGTTCTATCAGCAAAATGCAGCATTTTCAATTTTTTTAAAAATACATTTTGTGTTCAGCTTTTGTTCAGTTTTAAACTTATGTGTTGCTGTACAGAAAACTGTCCTGCATACATCTGAAATAGAAAACAAGGGGCACTCTAAAGTAAAACCAAAACATTATCCAAGTACTACTGCACATAACCTTTGGCATAGCATATCTACAAACTATGCCTTTGATACTCATCTTTGCCACCAAAACTTATAAGCACAAAATGGAGAAAGAAGTGACAATACAAAATTGCAAGTGAAGCAAGCAAAATAAACTGCATTCCTTTGAAATCTACAGCTACCCCCTCAATCAATCATATGGTACTGCAAACATGTATATGAAAACTATGTGACATCATACTTTTTGACTCTCTCTCTCTCTCTCTCTCTCTCTATCTCTCTCATATAATTAACCCCACCTTTAAAAATATCATCTTGCTATTAAAAACTGAGTAAAAGCATAGATAAGAGATATTGCATTAGGGAGAGTCAACTTGCCCATCCTCACCCAGAGACATACAATGGCTCCGTTTCGTTTGTCAGAGTAGGTTCAGAATTAATTAGTTGATTATGTTCCAAAATACAATGTCCCTCTCCATCAAACCATACTGACTCTGTTAAGCTAGTGGATTCTTTTCATCTCAGGAAAACCAACATCATTTGAAATTTCTTTCCCATCCAGTTACATTTCCCACCTTTTTCATTTTTTTCCCCTCTATACAATTTTGCTTTGAAACATTTTCCCCTAAACAATTACAGTAGAATAAGTGCTTTTAAATGAATATATTTTTATAATGCATAATGTTCTGGAAACTGCATGGCTTGAATATCCAAACATTTTGGAGAGAAGATAATCGTAAGAAAAGAGTTGGAAATGTAGTGATGAGCACCAAACCAACATTTGGCCACTGGTGTATGCAGCCTACTACCATTTAAAAAATGCTTCTCTCATTCTCTCTCCCTCTTCTAGAACTGAGTCTGAATCATGTACCTCAAAGCTTTTCAAAAGTAAGAGATGTACAGTTTTGAATAGCATAGATGCCACACACACACACCAGTTTTGTAACCAGAATAGAAGTAAAAGATTACTGTATAGGAAATGGCTCAATTTCTCTGAAAGGAGACGAAAGATGAAATGCCAGGTTCCTGGGCCACCATTTGCCACTGACTACACGTGCACTGAGTGGTGGTATCTTTTCTGCTAAAAGCTCTATTCAGTTAAGGTGGCCACAGCTGGCATCATAGTGCACATTCACTTGCTATTAATTTCTGGAGCACAGCAGCCAAGAGCAGCTGACAATGCCACCAATGGTGACTTGTCAGCAGGAAAGACAGGGACTTGCAGCATGCTGCATTAATTTAACACCACATCAAATATGGATTTTATTGCAGCAGTGACAGGAAAGGCACATGCAACTCAGATTTGTATTGCCATGAATCTTGTTCTCTCTTTTGCTCTGACTCTCTTCTTTACTGTTGGCGAGTCCCTCGCCACAAAGTGGGATGAGTGCATGCTTAGCATTCTGAGTAGCTTCCACAAGCTCTCAATAAAAGATACACAAGTTCCATCTGCCTCCATCAATTGCCCCCTCCATGACTTAAAGGGAGCTCTCTTTTGCAAAAAATGTGCACCAACATGTAGCAAGAGTTAGTATGCAAAAAAGGGACTGGATTCAGAGCCTTGTCACTGAGAAAGCCATCAGCAGTCTTGCAAGAAGGATGCTGTGAGGACTGGGCATGCATGTTTGCCATCCATGCCAGAATCATGAGTTACCCTGTCACAAAGGAAGGTTTCCAACTACAGTACATCCTGAAGGCTGTCCCTCTCCTGCTCCTTGCCTCCACATTCCTTCACAATCGCAAAACGCCAATGGCTTTCTTTTTTTAACCCCTTTTGTGTGTTTTTGTGTGTGTGTGTGCGTGCGTGTGTTTGGGGAGAGGGATTAACAGGCTGCACTAAACCCTGCTAGCTCCTTAATGGACCGCCTTTATAAATTGCACGGGTCTGTCATCCCTCAGCAAGTAAAAAACGCAGTCCAAGTTCAATACTACACACACACACACACACACACACACACAACTTCTCTCCTGCAGCCACGTCCATCACCCACTGTAAAAGTAGCAGCTCTCCGAGATCTATATACATCACACGATTTTTTTAAACAAATAAAGAGACAAACCACGACTATTAACAAACTCACCCAGAAACACCCCACCCCCGTTAAAAAAAAACAACAACGCCAAGGGCGTCCTTACCTTCCATCGGCTGTGCGTGAAGTCGAGTCCGAGCCCAGCCACGTCGGAAAAATCTTGGATTATCTTCCTCCCTCTTTTGTTTTAGCAGCTCGTCGCGTGTTATTTCGCTGCTTCAGCCCGTCCCCCCCCCCCCCCGTTACACACACACAGAGAGAGAGAGAAGAGAGAGAGTCAGACACCGGCCCCTTCAGGTCGCTCTTGCTCAGATTTTGAATTCAGGCTTTTCTACTCCGAGCCCAGCGGAACTCGGGGCAGCCGAGGGGCAGCGGGCGACCGGGAGGCGATGTAGCGGGGCCGGGGGGGTGGGGGAGAGAGGTCGGCGAGGCGAGCGGATGCCTTCGCCCTCCCTCCCTGCCTCCCTCCTGCGCTCTCTCGGTCGCTCACTCGCGCTGTCCGGCCGGCTTGCATTCAGAGCGCCTCATTAAAATCATGCCAATAATAATACAATCGACGAAAAAGAGGAAGAAGTCGCCACACAGCAAGCCAGAGAGCGGGGGAGAGAGGTCGGCGAGGCGAGCGGATGCCTTCGCCCTCCCTCCCTGCCTCCCTCCTGCGCTCTCTCGGTCGCTCACTCGCGCTGTCCGGCCGGCTTGCATTCAGAGCGCCTCATTAAAATCATGCCAATAATAATACAATCGACGAAAAAGAGGAAGAAGTCGCCACACAGCAAGCCAGAGAGCGAGGAAGAGGACACGAGAGGTTGCGGTGAGGGAACCGCCGCCGCCGCCGCCTCAGCACTTGAGAAGGTTCCGTTCCCCACTAGGACTGGGGGGGGGGGCGCGAAAAAAAAGGCGGCTTTTCCCGGCTCCCGGTGATTTGCAAGTGAATATGGTGGGAAGGAGGGCTTGCCGCCGAAGATTCGCCGCCGAAGATTCGCCGCCGCCGCCTCCGGTCCTCTCGCTCCTGACAGAATGGTTCTCTCTGTTCACTTGGCGGGTCCAGGGTGCTGAGCCTCGTCTCTTCCGTTTGCCATCATCACAGCCACACAGCCAGAACACCCTCCACGCGCTCCTATTGGAGGTGGGGGCGAGTGGAGGGGGTGGTGGTGGGTGCTGGATAGATGTTAGGCTTTTCTTTTTGTTGCGGTTGTTGTTCTGACTTTGTTTATTATTAATTTATTTCTCTCGCCCGGCGCCGTTTTCGCTCGCCGGCGAATTGCCCCCCCTCTCCTTACATAGACACACACACACACAACCCACACACAGAGAGAGACTGCAGCACTCGTCGTGTCAAAGGTGTCAACCGACCGACCCAACCTCTCTCCCGCCCACCCCCTCAAGTAAAAAAGAACAGAAAAGAAAACCTTTATCGCCAGGGCGACAAATTGAATTACAGCTCTCTCAGAGAGGTGATGCCGAAGAAACGGGCTCTCCGTTTTCTGCCCGGTCCATTAGAGACACAGTCTCTCTTCTTGTCAGCCTCCTCGGCTCTACTACGATTACAGGAGGAGGAAGCGAAAGCCCTCCTAAGATGGGAATGGGTTGCATTTCCCCCCCCTCCCGCTTTCTTTTTCGTGTGACTTATGGGAGGAAGCCCAAAATTTTTACATTTAGACCCAGCCTTATTTCTTGCGGGTGGTGGTGGATCATACAGCTGATCTCTGGCATCACATGGGGGGGGGGGACTGGTCACCTTAGTGGGATCACTGCCCTGCAGTTTTCCTATCTGCAGACGTTAGTCCCTGGAGCAGATTTATATCTACAACAGTTGATGCACCGAATAGAACCCGACGAAAGACTCCTCTGGGTCATCCTGAACCCCAGCTTACAAATGGAAGAAAGGGGAGTGGACAACTTTGTAAAATTTGGGGCGGGTGAGGAGGGAGAGAGACGGACGCTGCAAACACTCCCCTAAGAGTAAGCCAAAGGATGTCAGTATTGCTCCATCCACTCTGTGCCATGAGGGATTTTGGCTGGATGTTGGTGGGTTTTTTTTTAACTGTTTAAAAATATGAGAAATGGTTCAAGTTTCCACTTTAAAAGGGAAGGATTTTTTTCCCCCAGACCACACAGGGTTGTAAATTACAATGATTCAATAGCTCCTCAACAAATAATTTAAATTGGTGATGTGCATATTTAATTACTTCATCTATTTGAGTCTGGGCAGGGTATTTAGACCCTGCTTCACCTGGCCATAAAAGACCCTCAAGGCAGCTCACAAAAAATAATAGTGATAGGAACAAAAATAAGTTTTAAAAGTGTTTTGAATAAATGATAAACGTCAAAGGATGGAGTAAAGTTAATGGGATAAAAGGATGGGAAGAACAAAACTAAAGCCTCAAAGCCGTGTGTGTGTGTGTGTGTGTGTGTGTGTGTGTGTGTGTGTGTGTGTGTGTGCGTGTGTGTGTGTGCGCGTGCGCGTGCACACGCATGCATGCGTTGTGTGTGCGTGTGTGCGTGTGTGCGTGTTGTGTGTGCGTGCGTGCGTGCGTGCACACGTGCGTGCATGCGCGCACACATAACTGGTGGCCTCTAGACCAAATCTACCCCCCCCCAATAATACTCATCATGAATGCTGAGACAAAGATAAGATATAGAAGTGTCATTTGTAGTAGTTGGTAATTGCTGATAAGATACCTTTCGAGACAAGATTGGTACCTTGGCAAGTTCCTTGATCTCTTCTCAAAGCATCCCTCTGACAAATTTATTCCTGACTAGATAATCAATAGGCAACTACTCTGTCCCATAATATGTTGTCCTTCCAGGCTGATAAGGCCATTCTCCTATGTGCTTTTACTCAGACATTCCACTGAGTTTTACAAGACTCACAACTAAGCAGATACATAATGGAAGCCTGAACTGAACAAGTATAGTCATCTGCATTTCCACTTATGGAAGAATGAAAAGTCCATGAGAATATTTCTGCTGTGACTGATCCATGGTACTGTAGAGTGTATATGTTGGAGGGATGTATCAGACCTTGTCAAAACAAACAGCTACACCTTCTGGATATACTTTTAAGAAAATACTAAAATGATGGTACTAAATTTATTGAGAAAGAAAGAAAGAAAGAAAGAAAGAAAGAAAGAAAGAACTGGAAGGGACCCTTTGGATCATCGAGTCTAGCCCATGTCGAGGGGGCTCAGTGTGGAACTGATCTTCCAAAGTTTGCCTCCACAGCCCAGATGCCTAAATCACGAAGCTATCCAGCTGTTCATGATGATGCCATTGATAAAGAATTTCTACTTACCTGGAAGTAAGCTCCATGAAGTTTGGATGATGCCATTGATAAAGAATTTCTACTTGGAAGTAAGCTCCATGAAGTTCATTGGAACTTAATATTCATGTAAAGGATTACAATGTGGTATAATAGATAGATCTGAGACCTGAAATCCCATAACACTTTTGAGGGAGTAAGGATAATTGAATACAGCAACACTTTGTAGTACGTGTTACAGAATCGTACTCTTGGACTTGGAGTGGAAGTTCAAATCTTTGTTCAGCCAATAACTCACTAGATGGCCTTAACTAAATTTTTATACAGTTAACTCTGAGAAACGAAAGATATAAGAGTTTGAGGATAAAATTGGAAGTATTCATATAATCTTCTCTGAGCTTCCTTCAGGGAAGGCAGGAGTACAAATAAATATAATAATTCAATTCATATCTGATAGATTTCTGGGAGGACCCAAGGCAGCTCATGACAAGATTGACAAAATACAGTGAACTCACAAAAATGCAAATACTAAAAGTCACTTAGAAAATATTATTTAAGGAAGTACAATAGAAACAAGTAACTAAGAAAAAATGTGGTTAAATTTCCTTCCTCAGCTGTGGGTCAATTACCAATAGCATGTTTGATAATAGAAATACTTCTATAGCACTCTTCATCTTCCAAAATAAAATGCACACATGTGTTTGATACATTTAAGCAAAAGAGCAATGACTGAGATATTTGAAATGGTAGTTAGATGAGATGAATTCTCTGAGGAAAGCCCAAATACATACTCAATACCACATTTCTAACAGAACTCCTACTTCCTAAGTTGTGTCAGCTCCTTATTCCAAAACACATTTCCCCCCCCAAAAAAAAATCTTGTTCTTGTTTTCTCATAGAGACACTTTTCTTCAAGGACCCAAAGCCACTTGCCAAACCCCATGCTTCTAGCTCTGTGTTGCATCAGTCATAGGAACATACCTGAATTGTTCACCTCTATAAATCGTTTCTCTCCATTTACCTGAAGTCGGGCATTAAATGGCTTTTTTGTAAATTTTTTCCAGACAGAGTTAGCCATGTGAAGCAACAATCCCCTTTCTGACTCTGCTTCATGAAGGCAAAAGACCTGCACCCTTTCTCTATGTAGTGTGAGGTGGAAGCAGCTTCTTAAAGTGACAGCCACATTGCCTTTTTTGCTGTACTAGACAAGATGCTGTAGGAGTTAAATAAAGTGTATGGTAAAAATACATTGGTCAGAAGCAAGAAGAACCAGCAAGTGATGGTTGCAGAACCAATTTTGATCCTTGCATGACCTCACAGTTTTCACTTCAGATACACAAACAGAATACAGACAAACTGCAGTTATAGCACTTTACTTGCTGAAACCTGTGATTTAGAAAATACGTATGTGTGCATAAAGATATATGTAGGTGATATATCTGTTTAGGTAGCTACGTGTTTATATAGATACAGGTATCAATATATAAATAGACATGAAAATGAAAATAAATATAGATATGGCCAAAATCCGTTGGTTATGCCCACAAGCATAACACATATGGATTGATGTTGGAAGAGAATTGCCTTGAATTCAGAAATCATTGTAGAGTTGGCGTACAATAGATAAGTTCTTAATTATCTTAACTTGGGGCAGTTTGCCTCCAACGTTATGGTGTTTATATTATATAGGTATCAAATGGTGCATGTGTCTGTAGTGAATGTCCACAGGGTGAGGAATATCAACCATCATATATGAATATATAAATCGATGTCTAATTTTGTGAATTTCCTCAGCATTGTGAAGTCAAGAAACACAAATACCATTGGGATTCATCATTTTCACCTCAGAGTCTGACTAAGTCTTAATTTCCCATGTACCCCCTCTAACCTTTTACAGTTTTTCTGTTTTATTCTGAGGAATTTTCTTTTTCCACTGTTGTACCAGGGTACTATCACATGTTGGTATTT